CAAGCTCTTTTCACCTGAGACAGATTGTTGTATCTCCCTTTGCTCCATCCTTGTCTAATCGACACAGAGTGAAAACACAAGAATTACCTTAGCTGTAGGCATCTACCACAGGAAGGGAAACAGCAAAGCTCTGATCCTCTTCACTAGAAACAGCATCAAGACAAGGATTTTAGGACAGACAATATGTTTTAACGGAGTCATGCCCGCAGCTGAGAAAGAAAGTAAGCTTTTTTCTTTCTCCAGGTCAAAACTATTAAAACTAACCAGTATCGCAGCCCTATTTTCCAAGTTTAGGTTTTCTTTTCAAGACAAAGAAAAACATACATGACTCGTGAAAACTTCTGCATTTGAGTATCACTAATGCTAAATTAAGGCAGCGAGTAAGCAGTGTGTGCACCACTAGGCTCTGCTGGCTATATTCACCTGAAGAAAACCCCAGACCTGTACTGGTTAGGGAGAGGCAAAGTGCATTTAAAATTGGGCCTTTCTTTCCTCTCTCATTGTGCATGGAAAATATTACAAAAAAGAATTTCCATTACCTCTCTCTCATTGTCACCCTATGCCTTCTTGACTTACCTTTGCAGAATATCATCTTCTGTGTTCTAATATTAATGAACCCTTCACGACGGCTTGCAAAGTTTCCATGTGTGCTCAGAATTATGGCTTTGGAAGAGAAAACCAATACAGACACAAAAGACTCTGACTTTGACTCCACATGGGACCTGTGTTGGGATATTGCAGCAATTTTGAGTTGTATCCGAACAGAACTTGCACTTAGCTGAACATGACTGGAGTGATCCCAGTTCCTCCAGTTTAGTCTCCCTCGCAGGCAACTGCGTTATTTCAACAACCCTCTTCCAGCCTCAGGTTCCACCTAAAATAATGCTGTAAGGAATCTATCTCCAAAGACATTCATCAGAGGAACCGTGTTCTCTTTTAACTGGCACTGGCAGACCTTGGACGCGATTGCACGAGGCGAGCAGGACTAACAGGGTGTGAAACAAATATGAATAAAAGGAGAAACAATGCTAAAAACACCTGGATTCTCTAACGTTAGCCCAAGCAAACGAGAACGGGCAAAGAGGAACAGTTCCTTTGTGCATGTTCAGCAACAATAAAACAAGTCTTCCTTATTTTTAGAGCTGGGTTATTTCAGGGAATAACTAGATCATTTGTCAACTTGTAACAACGCCAAAATTCTTCATATAACCAACAGTGTTCTGAAAAATGCAGAATTTCTGCTTTTTCTTCGCCCCTAAACATAGAGGTGCACCTCTTGTTTCGCATACACAGAACACAAACTGCAACAAAAACTAAAGACTTTACTCTGAGTGCAGCTAAATCTGCTAAGATAGAATTTTATCACCTCGGCATCCGTAAGAGCTGAAAGAAGACACGTGGGACAGTTTATTTGCTCCCAGGAAGCTTACGGACCTGCGGATAACCAAATCTCAGAGCCCTAGGAAATTTAGCTCTGGGATCCACATCACTCAAACTAGCACCTTCTCCGGGACATATCTCAAAAGAAATAAAATTCCTCTCACAGCATCTCTGAAATGAGAAGTACAATCGCCTTCCCAATGCGCCAAAGAATTCCAAACTCTTATCTTCACAACAGGTATGTTCAATCTAAGCACTCCTACCCGACATTTCAAAGGAACATCATTCTCTCCATAAAATTCTTGGTGTTAAGTCAGTTCTAAAAACCACGAGCTGCACTATGCTCTCCACGACGTATCACAGCTCCCCTGTCACGTTCTGTGTTTCTGAGGAACAGGTTTCATCTGTGATCGTTAACTATCCCATGGAAAAGACCAATCACCATTGCATGCTTTGCACGTATAGAATCATAGGATGGTTAGGGCTGGAAGGGACCTTCAAAGGCCATCTAGTCCGACCCCCCTACAAGGAACAGGGACATCTCCAACTAGATCAGGTTGCTCAGGGCCTTCGTCCAGCCTGGCCCTGAACGTCTCCAGGGATGGAGCATCCACCACCGCTCTGGGCAACCTGTTCCAGTGTTCTACAACTCTCATGGTAACAAATTTTTTCCTAATATCCAACCTGAATCTACCTCCTTCTATTTTAAAACCATTACCCCTTGTCCTATCACAACAGGCCCTCCTGAACAGCCTCTCCCCATCTTTCTTGTAGGCTCCCTTGAGGTACTGGAAGAATACTGAAAGTATTTCGCCAGATGCTGGCCACTTGGCAACTCCTTGGCCAAAGCAGTCCAGAATAACATCTGTCTAAAAGCCAAGTGGTCAACGGTTACATAGTTTTGCCTCGTATCTACTTTTTTACCATAATGTGTAAATTAATGAGTTGTTTTAATTTTCAGTTCTAGTCTGAACCACCTGGATTTTCTTAACCTCATATCCTTAGTTCCAAACACATTTCTTTTCCAACACAGAACCAACAGTAAACACGAGGGCAATGCCTGAACTCCTTTCCAGAAAGGAGGAATGATCATGTCACCACCAGAAAACAGCATCAGTCTTCCCTGACTTCTACCACGGAGATGGGGGATCAAGGACGCACAAATGAGATCCATGAAATTTCCATGCCAACTTCACATCTCAGACTCTTGACTAGTCACCAAAGTAAGGAGCAAGGACAAAAATCCATCCATTTCCTAACTCAAGAGCACGGTGGAATCACGGCAAATTAGAAAATATTGTGTGTTCTTGGCAGTTTAACTAATGAAGTAAATAAGACAAAAGTGACTGACCTGTACAGAGAGCACCGGAGCTGGTCAGAATCAGCATGCAGAATTCCCCCCTGCAAAGCCATCCGTGTGACACCAGTTCCCAGGTTTCCATGCCAAAATTGTCCCCAACGGCCCCATTTCCATCCAAGTTGTGTCCCATCATCCTCTCCAGGGCCTCTAGTAGCACCCAGAAACAGGCACTTGGGAGGAAAGTGCAGGAAACAAGTGAAACACAAGTGTGGAGTAATTCACCTCCTGAGCACGTCCCTGTTAGTCCTAACGGTTTGAGGCTGAGTTTAGTTTTGTAGATTTTTGTTAAGATTTGAGAACATTCAAGACCTTTCTTACTTATACATCAACCGCAAATATATTTATCTGTGCCGGTTCCCACTAAATCTAACTCCTTGTAGTCCTTCTGCAGACACTTTTGAGTTTTCAATAACTTTGATTATTTTGTGGTGTATTTATCACCCGCTAAAGTTAGTTCCTGAACGCTTTGAAAAAAGCAAATATCACCATCTGCCTTACTAAATCCTGCTATGCTAGTTGAGATGTCAAAATACAAAGAATTCTGTGAGCAACACCAAGAGCACTGCATCTCACCAAGTTTCGTTGCCTTGTTTTTCCACGCAGCCAGACTCCTTGTCAAGGGAGTCATTCTACACCACTAAAGCCAAAACACACCAAGTTCCAACACCAACCCTCAAAATCTTGCACATGCACCTCCTTATCACGATAACCAACCTGTTCGCCTGTATTGAAAGAACTGCACGTGTTTGTAAATGAGATTACAAGCTCGAACTAACATCTCAAAACGACAAGAAATTTCTCTTTAGGGGAGAGAAACTTTATCAGAGTAGCAAATTTGCCATTAGTCTCAAGGAAGCAGTAATCAATATTGAGCAACAGTTCAAATTCAGAAGTACATTTTTTAGAGCAGTGCCAACTTACAATTTCAATCACTGCTTCTCTCTAAAAATCAGAGAAACGCAGCATAATATTAAACAAACTGTACATAAAAGTGGTGAAAAACGAGTTACTGATTCCTAAGAAATTGATAAAAGGATCCCTGAGCCCCTGATACGACATGGAGCTACCATCAGTCTGTTGCTCCTTAGGATGGGATGCTGCTACAAACTCAGCCTTACCTGTGCAGGAACAGCAAACTCTGTCCTCATTTGACCTACATGGTTACTGGCATACCCAACATGCTTCCAGTTGTACACTTGAAAAAAGTTTTTTTGAAAGAATTGGGGATTTTTCTCCAGATAAGACACTAATATAATCACAGAACCACGCAGCTGGAAAAGGAATTCTGAAGGTTTCTAGTCCAGATCTCTGCTCGGAGCAGGGCCCATTAAAGCAAGTTACTCTGGGCCTCGTCCAGTTGGCATTTCAAGCACCTCCCAGGACAAAAGATCCCCCAATTCCTCCAGGAAACCAGGTCCTGGACCATTCCCTCACAGAAAGGGCCTACGTGGAATCACACTGATGTAAACATGAAATAACATCTCGCACAGGTCCTTTAAGACACACAACACTTGCACCTTACCTTTAGGACTTACATTAAAAAATAGATTTGATACACAGTTGAACCAAGTATTTGGTTTCTTATCATTCCTTCTTTTTCAAGGTGCCACTTGCCTCATTTTAGAGAAGACAGGAAGCAGCTGCTACTCTATTTTATTCATGGAAAAAGAGATCAGGAAGAAAGAGAAAGCTGTCACTGAGCAGGTGATCACCAGAAACCATAAGAGAAACTCGTCCTTCCAATTCCTAAGCTAATGCACCAGAGACAGACAACAATTTTTTTTACTTTGCAGTTACAGGGAATCAAACATTCCCACTGCTACGAAGACAACCACGTGAACCACCTGAATATCCGACTGTACCCAATTACCAATCAATCTGCACCAGTGTTTTCATTCAATAAACCAGTAACTACAGCGTCAGTCCCGTTAGCCTTTTCCCTCACCCCAAAAATTGTTCCCTAGCCCCTGTGCTGAGGCTGATGTGACCCCCTGAAGGCAGCCGAGATGAGCCACGGTTTTATTTGACATTCACCTGCACATTTCTTGAGGATAATTCAGCAAACAGGACTATTCTCCTTGTGGAACATGCCCCCTGGAAACGAAAATTCTCAATGAAAACATGTTTGTGCAGAAGCAGCATTCTTTATGGTCAGGTGGTCGATACTTTATTTGGAAAATAAATAATTCCAGCTGCAACATTTTACAGAAAATAAGGAGATCTCAAGAAAACAGCAGTACTCCATGACATCTGTGGGACTGCTCTCCCGACAGTTCCAACGACGTCACTTCTTCAAAGTGTATTTGGCCACCAAGGCAGACACCATGTCCCTGTAGGGAGTATCCGAGTCGGATTTGGTCCGCGGGATGAAACACAGCCGCCGGAAGGTGGGAGAACGCAGCAGCAGGTTGTGCCCAAGTCCCACGCAGCTGGAGGACAGCCAGTACAACGCCATGGACTGCAAGGAGACAAACACCCAGTTCAGCCTCCCCAGAGGCAGCAGGAACACCACCATTTTGGGCAGTTCTTCACCAACCACAACCACCGGCTGCTCCCCGGTGTCGGGAAACGTTAACTCACCTAAAATCACTCCTCTCAATAACAATAACGGCTTCCACTGCAAATGTTAGCTCTCACTCTCAACTCTTCTGGGGAAAAAAAGTCATCTACACTGAAGTTTGACAACAGTTTATAAATGAATTCATTAATTAAACTTGATTAAACTTCTCTATTTCAGACTCTAATAAGCCAAACAGCTAGGTAACCCGGGGTTTCCCGGATGTTTCGCTAACCACCATGAAAATATTTAGTAGTTGAACACCTGTTAAAAACAAGAAGCGTTTTAAGAAGATTGTGGAAAATTTCCTTATGTAAGTACTACGCTGTTTTCCTCTTACAGTGAACAAACACTCAGCAAACCTTTGCCTATGTGTCCTTATATAGTTTTCCTCTCATTTCTGAGATCACAAAAAGGATGCTAGCCCGCTCAGAATGTGCTTCCAAGCCCTAGTTTGCAACAACAATGATTAGAAACACTGAACTTTGCAGATTCTTCCCTCTTGGAGAAAAACATTCCATATGTGTTAAGAATTTTAACGTATATATAGACAAATCATCCCACTTGGTTTAGGGCACACTAAGAGAGTACAGTCTATCCAAGGTAACAGGCACTTGGGCTGCTCTGCAGGCACGCAGCAGATCACAGGTTAACGGACGCGTCGTTAAGGCTCTGTACTTACAGAGGGGACTGTTGCAGCGACGGGGATCATCACTACTGACAGCACTCGGAAGAAATTCGTAGCAATCTTCTGGAATCTGGAAACTTTCGTTTTTTGCGAAGCAAAGATCTGAAAGGGGAGAAACTCACGGTTAGAAACAAGTTTTTTGAAACAACTAAAACGAGAGAAAAGGCAACAGTGGGGTCTCCTGTAACCCAGCACTCTTGTTCACCTATTCCTTTTATTTTCCATCCTCCATTTCAACTAATGTACTGCTCCAATCTTTCATTTAACTTGTTGGATGTTTTACATTCAGATCTTGGTAGAAAACAGCAGAGTACCTACCAATTGCTTCAGGGTAACACCATTTTACACAGTAACCTTTGCCCATCTGACACTTCCAACGCCCCAGCCTGAAGCACAGCCCTATGGCACAGGGCTGCCCACAGCAAACACGTCAAAACGGTTGGTAGATAACGGAGTGAAAGCAGAATCAGGTCTACACAATCTACTACTGACTTGTTTTTCTCTAAGAGAGCCTCAGTCTACATGACAAAAGGAGAAAATGGAGTAAGAGTGAAATCCAGATGTTTAGGGTTTGATGAGAACACCTAACAGAAAAGTCAAGAGGAAAACTAATTCCATTAAATTACTGCCAAAGATGCGAAATTAAGGCTTTTTTCTTTTTTTCTGCTGTTTCTGTGGACTAATCTCCCCAGCAATCTTAAGAAATTCTGGATTTTTTCAGTTTGTTAAAACCACATAACATTGCTAGCTTTGAGCAGAAGGCAGTAACAAATTATTGAGGGGGAAAGGGAGGAGGAAAAAAAAAACCCCACATGTCCTTTTGGCTGCTTAACACGCAGGAAGCTCATTAGAACATCATTCTAAGAGAAACTCTAGAGTCAATAATAAATTTTACTTTACTGGCTTTACTTGAGCCTCAGTATCTGAGACGCACCGCATCAGAATTTGTCACCACTGAACAAGACACCCACAAATACAAATCCACAGAACAACGGAATTATTTTTCACTTCTGGCCCACGCATTTAAAGCGGCCACAGTCTGAACCTCCAGGATGTTATTATGTTTTCTAAGTGAGCAATATCGTCCTGCAATTCTGTAAAAAGAACTACCCTTCTGTGACAGTCCCATTTATTCCACCAACATACCTCCACGATCAGCAAATTCACGAGCCCAAGCGAAACGGGCAAAATCCAGGTGGCATCTGGTGCAGTGAGGTCTCTAAACCACAGCGCTCCGCCTGCTGAAAACTGTTCTTGAACTGCACAAAAAGTTTAAAGGAAACACGGAATTAAGTAGGATTTTCTACCTCAAGTTAGCCAACACCCCCACGGCTTGCAATCAAATCATCCATGTGTCTAGGCACATTTTACCTACACGATAAATAATATTAAAACAGAAATCTTTGGTTTAACAGATCACATGTCAAGGCAGTTTGCTATCAGTACAAGTGAAAAGGGTGGGAAATGCAAGGGGAGATGCAAGGTGAGATCCAGCATAGCCCATGACAGCCACTGATTCAGGTAAAACAGGGATAAAACCCAGTGTGATCTCAACTACCTTTTTAGAAACCAGTAAGGAAAATACGCATGCAGCAACCTACAGTGACTAAGTATTTTGTGGTTTTGAAATAAAGCTGTTTCTCTTAATGACTAACTTGTCATGTTTAGGTTTAGAAGAACACACTATAAACTCTTTTCTGAAAGAGTTTTAATTTAAAAACCCCCACGCATTCACCTTGTCCATAGTACTTTATGTGAAACTTCCATTGAAGAACAAATACAATAGTGATCGGACTGTAGCATGGTGAATATTACTTAACAGATATGCTTATCTTGTGAAAAATACCAAGTCAATTTTTTTTTTTTCTAGTAACCCTGTCTTCAGTAGACCACAACATAATTCAACACTCCCACAGCCTCACAAAGCACCTCACACAGTTCCCAGAGCCCAGACTCCGATCCTGCTTCTCAAGAGGCATCGGCCAAAGCTCCCAACATTATTACAAACACTGAAAGCAGAGACCAGTGACGCGCTGGATGCTTCCAATGAAGCATCTGTAAAAACAATAACTGAGCAAAAAATGACTGCTAAATAAATCACCTTCCGAGCCCGTGGCACCGACGCTGCAGTTGCGTAAAGCCAGGGACACGCAAACCCACATGGGAATCTGCACCCACACCAGCAAAGTGGCTTTGAAGGGATGGCAGTTGTCTCGGATGTACAGCTCCGTAACAATCCTCCGCAGGTTTTTCTTGAAGTGGAACCTTTTAGAAAGAAAAAAGAAACCAAACCTCTCACAATGCTTGTCAAAGAGTACCCCAGCTCAGACACGGTGCTCATGCACAGGGTGCAGTGCTGCACTAGGAAACCAACAGGACCAAGACCATTCAAGCCTCAAGTCTGCAGCAGCATTTAGACACCAGCACAGCCACGGAAACGTCAGTTCTAAGTAAAGATGACAAAAACAACCCTGGATTTGGTCCTGTAAGCACAAACCTCTCCCAAGTTCAGAACTTGAATCAAGGGCAATATAACAACTAAGTCACAGGAGCAGTAAGAACTTCTTGGCTTTCAACAATGGCAGAACCTTTCTCTAGGACCGTTTTTTGTAGGAATTCACCTCCCCTCCCAATCCAGAGTAGATTTATAAGGTATATACAATCACCAGCTTACCTGGCAACCTTTTCAGACCAACCCAGTTGCTTTCCACGAACAGAAACTTCATAGCCAAGGCGCTCGGCGAGTTTTTTAATCTCAGGCTGCAAGTTTTCCAACTAGCTAAAGAAAAGGAAAGATGTTTATGCACAGTTCCACGTCACAAGCACTTCCTCTCCCCGCCTGACACTGCACAGGCATTAAAAGCGAGTGTGAAGGACAAGGCACACATCTGCAAACATCTGTTATCTTTAAACAAGACGAACATGTGAAGATACTCATGAGAGTATTTACAGTAAGAAAAAAAAATACGATCTTCTTAAATAAAATAAATAAAAAAATCAGGTTTTACATTTTGTTCTAAATAAATATATTTTTGTCTTTGTTCAGGAACGACAACTTCTAATGCCACCTCAAAAAGATTTAAAGCTCAGCAGGACACAACTTGGCAGTCACCTAAATCGCTCTCCAGAGGATTAAGAAGAAACCTCCTTATGGATAAGTACAGTACAATATTCACTGCCACAATCAAATCACAACGAAAACCCAACAATCATCACGGTATAAAACAACCTAACAACCACCAAACATCCCGAACACACTGCAATTAAATAATTAAACCATGCTTTTTCTGCAGTAATGCTCTCTGAACGCCACACTGAAGAAACCTGGCCAAGAAACACACCTGTGTTTACCAGCCTGACCCTTACACAGGTGGACAACAAAGCTCCAAGGAGCCCAAATCCCACCTGAGCTCCGGCAGCTGTGCGGCACCCACCACCTGAACGTCCTCAGCTGGGCAAGAAACTGTTACCCAACCACGACGGGGTTAAAATTTTGGTGTAAGAGTTTCAGGAAGGGTTTAGTAGGTGATTTACACACACCGAAACAAACTAAGGAGGATGAGCATCCTTGAAGCTGCCAGGAGTGATCAAAAAGGAGATTCTTTATCCAGAACTGCCTGCCCTTGGAGGGAACATCCCAGAATAAGTATAAACTTTGTTCTCGTGTTTTTCTGAGCTGTGAACATGCAGCGAGTCGGGGGAAAAGGGAATTCTGGCTGGGGGAGATCGTGACCACCTGCCCTAAACATACCCCAGACCCAAAAGAAAGGGGCAGAGGGGGAAAACTGAGCATGGGAAGGAATTTCCACGTAAAGCGAGAGAAAATTAAACTAATTGTTTAAGAATATGTAGATACGTTATGAATTATGCATGATTGCAGTGTGTATCCCGGATTTTCTGCCCAGAAGGCGGGTGCGCAGCCACAAGAAACATCCCCCGTGCTTCCTAAAACTCCTTGGAAAGTTCCATTTGCACCGACTTTTCGGGGATCAAAACCGCACAAAAAAAGGACAAACACCCGACTCCGCGCCGCCCACGCGCACTCCCCACGTACCAGAGCGTGTCACCCCCTCACTCCCTTCCCGCCTTC